GGCACAAATGACACCGACCTGATGCGTTACGGGAACATCTCTATCAGTAGCTCTTTCTATTGTCTCTTTTCCTCGATGTCTCCCGATATTTCTCCACCTGCCATCACAGTGTGTGTTTATTTGTGTGCACTGTGTTCCCACTGTTTCTGCTGAGCCCCGCTCACTCCTAAGATAAGATAAGATCTTGATAAGAGATCTAGATAGCATTCAGCTACAAAAAAACAATTTCCTCACTCCTCTGGGGACATTAAACCATTTCCTTTTTGTCCGGAAAATGTAGAAAAACAAGCAACCCAAGAATGCACATGAGCATTACAGCACCTTTTCTACCTCATCGGCTGGCCTTTCCAGATGCTATCAATGAGCAGGTGATTTTGGTGCAGCCAAAAAGTTCTGCATTGCAGAGGCATCCTGTGAACCACTAAATACAGATTGTGGTGGAGTATCTTTTCATTGAAATGAGATTTTCTGCACAGCTACCCTGACTGCTGTAAGCAGAAACTACTATAAATACAAAACATTGTCCTTCCTAAAGTTAAAAAAACTGCTTTTCACTCTTGAAATAATATTAATATAATAACCCATATGAGTGATGCTTGTTAAATGTATTCTTCAAGATACGTTGATGACGAACACACAGACAAATACAGATTCCTATTTCTGCATGCTCCTCACGTAACAGTTTCCTGTGGGACCAGGCAATGATTCATTAATGAAGCTTATCTTAAGGGAAAAAACTAAATTACATCTCTTAGTCCACGGCTGTCTGTCAGAATCTTTTAGCAATTTTATGAGACGGCACAGAAGTAAACTTATGCAGACGCGGCACAATGTGAGCTTGAGTAAAACTCCTTTTTATGTAGATAACCTTACATATTAATGTTCTAGTTTGGTCATCATTTACACTGAGAGACTACTGGAACAAAAAAAGAAAAGAGCGAGATACATGTACTTCCTAAATTATACTACTAATCGCCACTGCAGTAAGATAACACAAGTGCTCTTTTTTTTTTTTTGAGAGACACCTCTTCAGTATTTTCATGGTGTGATAGTTTTTTGTACATAATGCTTTTACATGACAACACAAAAACCGCTTTAGATAAGCAGTTTGTAACAGTGACTTATGTATAGATTTTCTGTCGTGTTTTGTTTCCCACCACAGCTGGATTCTGTTTCTATTGTTGCCGGGCAACAGATACCATCCCAGTAAATACTCGAGTCTTGACTGTTATTGCTTGGCAACAAAAATTGCACCCCAGTAAGTAAAACATTAAATAAGCGAAGGCTTAAAATCTACTGTATACATACAGACCTCAGCGCTGCAACTTTTTGCATGCAGGCCTAAGATGAATGCGGTGACGTGGCTGCAAAAGGCCTGCTGCAATAAAGCACTGATCCCAATCCCCACTGTTATGTCTACATTCATATGCTAATCCACACCCCCAGCACAACCACTAATGACTGATCCTCAGTGTGCCAGTGGGTCCTAATGCACTCCGCTGACCAGCAGACACATTCAAGACCCCCAGAGACGTGAGTCACATTTACAACTCACGTCCACATGTTTGGAGCTTAACTCGCAATAAACCAGTAACCGATGAATGAACCATTTCTACGATTGTGTTTTTCATTGTTTAGCTGTTGTTCCTTATGGCTTTCTGCTCTTATTGGTATTTTTTTGTGTTTATACACACTCAGCATTATTACTGGCGTCTTCTCTTCAACACACTATACCTACAAATACAAAAAAACCACCTCCTGACATTAGTCTCATGTTTTACGACAAAGACCCACGTTTCAATGCCTTTGTTCATCATCTGTGACGCAAAAAACATCAGATCTGGTCCTCGTCTTAGTTCGTTTTTTAAAAAGTCTCTCCTGCCAGGCTGCTGACGGCGCTGTCAGCCGAAGAGTCAATCACACCGGACAGCAGCGGAGAAGGTTCTACCGTCGGCTGGTTCAGAAGTAGTTTAGCTGACTTCACTGCCAGTCATCAGTGGAGCTGAGAGCATCAGAGCCGCCAACAGACTCGAACCACGCTTCCCGGCCCCACGCTGTCTCACGCCTCATGCTGCTGTCTCTTTCCATTATCCCTCTCTTCCTCCGTCACTATTTTGAGAAGTTTGTAAAGTTTACAGCCTGCCATGCTGTTGCCCCTGCATTGCTCTTTATTCAATGACGCAACCAAAAAAAAAAAAAAAAAGTTTTGGGGGGCAGCCCTAGGTGAATGTGAATACCAACATACAGTGTGCAGGTTTACTGTCAGGATACATACTCATGAGCAAAGACTGAAAGGATGAGATAAGATATATAGATGGATAAAAACAAATCCACTTACACGCTGAGATAACACAGCATCTTAATTACCCAGAAGGGTCCAATAGACTTTTATGACACCTGGCAAGAGATGAATCCCATTAATGAACATCAAGTGACTTTGGGATTATTAGTCCCCTAGTGTGTGTGTGTGAATGAGTGTGCAGTATGCGTGTGTCTTTCCCTGCCCTCCCCTGTGACTAATGTATCATATGCAGCAGCAGGGTCATCTATAAATAACAACACGATGTTCATTCACTGAGCGGGAGGGGTGACTTGTGTCTGGGCAGATGGATGAACGGGGGGGAGGTGTGTGAGTGTGTATGTGTGTGTTTGTTGTTCCCCATCCTCTTGCTTACATACTGTAGCGGACGGTCAGTTAGGTTTTATTTGAGACCACAGTGTTCAATATTAAGCTCACACACGCTCTGAGTGCCTGAGGCAACGGCAACAGTGCGCAGCAGTTGCTCGCTGCCCTGTGCAGCGTGGTGGCAGATCTGTGCTCACCACATGCAGGATGGGTCGGGGTCTCGCTTCACATGATCCTGGGAAACAATAACAACACAGCTGTACTGCCGAGTGAGTGGGCATGCTTTGACAGCCAAATATCAGATCATAGCTGAGGTTGAGTTGGGGTGTTGGGTGGGAACTGGGGCAGTTCCCTCAGCCCCGGTGCTCAAAGACAACCATTCAGAGTAGTTAATTATAAGTGCTTATTTTTACAACCAACAATTAAGAGCCTACTGTCAAAACGTCTTTCCTGGATTGGATACTGAGAGCAGGAAAACAGACTTTTTTCTGCTCTAGCATTCAGTGATGTAGCAGTATTGTGTGTCCAGTTTGTCAACTAGGAGTCCTGGGTTCAAGCCACCTGCCCCGCCTAATGCCTCTTTCCACTAAATTGTTTGACTCAACACAACTCATGGTAATTGGTACTTTTGGTACAGCACATTTCAAAATAATTTCCCCCGACTGCCCTTTGTAAAAATCTGGGTCGAGTGAACAAAACAATTGATGTTACCGTGCAACCGTTTGTAAAGGATGTCCCATGTCGCACTAGTGCCGATTCTCTGACCAATCAGTGGGCTGTAGTGTTTTAACTCCACCTTTTATTGTCGGTTCAGCTCGCTTGGAACCTCGACTGACGTAGTACCAAAAAGGACCAGGTACCATCTACAACTTTTGTTAATGGAAACCAAAAAAGGACGGTTCCAAGCAAGTTGAGTTGAGTAGAGCCGTGCCATGTTCAGTGGAAATGTGGCATCGGTGTCCAGACAGTTAATCTCTACCAGCTCTACGGCTAATGGTGTGAAAATAATAATTAAAAACGATTATAATTGATATTGTTTTTGTTCTTAACTCCTATAACACAGAAAAAAACACAACCTATTATTTTGCACAAAAATCTCAGCACTCAAATGTGGTTAAGTGTGTTCTTGAGTGTGCATAGATTCTGTTCTCCCTGTGCTCTCAAATCCCCCTTTAAGGTTCAAAAATAAAAATAAATCTATATAGAAGTACCCCAAACCTTCTTAGTATAATGAGCCTCCTTTTGGTTTTGATCAATATAATCTGGGCTGCAACAAACCATTACTTTTACTATTTACAAATCTCATGATGGATTTTTTTGATAGTCGTTTAGTCCTTAACACAATTTCTCAGAGCCCATCTAAATCTATTAATACTGATATTTAATTACCAATTATAAAAAACCCATAAAGGCAGCAAATCCTCCCTTTTGAGAGGCTGGATCAAGCAGATGTTTGTCTTTGGTTTGTTCTTTGCGACTGATCAACTAACTAATCCCTTAACATTCTTGTGGTTACGGAAATCAAAATATAACGTCTTAATGGAATTTGTAAGACATAGAACATTCCATTGGTTTGCAGGAGAAAATGCCTCGCTGTGATACTGTGAAGACAGCTTTGTTTGCACAACGATTATTGTTGTTTTTTTCCTACAACTGCTTCTTTGTCAAACTAATGACTTCCTTCCCATTGTCAATGGGTTCATGGAGGGATGTGCATGCAGTGCAAACAGACAGAAAAAGAGGAAAGGCTGCAGTGTTTCACTGAAGTCAGTGTTCACAGGCTTAGCCAAATGTCTTGTGTGTCTGTTCAGTCAAACACACAATCCCTGAACCTCACAGCATTATCTCCTGAAGACAGCTGTGCTGAGGGACCTCTGACTTCCATGTGCTTATATGGTCTAGCTCACTCCTCCCCTCCCCCCGGCTTTCTCTGCAAATGGTACAGTCCATTTAAAAAGGTGCTTGTCATCTCTCAATGCTCTGTGTCCTTTCAACAGTCAGCTGCAGGGAGCACATTTCACAGGGGCAGTGCTGGCTCTCTAACACACACACACACACACACACACACATACACACACTCATGCTGTTACCGAACTCTCAGACACACACACACACAGGCATGCTGTCACACTGACACAATCACACCACACATACACCGCCTCCAAAGACACACATTTCCCCTGAGCTGGACGCCTCTCTTTAAGGGAAAGGACAAACTGCTTTGAGGATTTAACTTGGCTTTTCCTATAAAAAGGGAGCGAGAACAGACAGAAAAAGGAGAAAGAGGAAGGATTAATTTGAGGACACCTTCCTTCACAGGAGATGTAGAACTTGTCAGCATGACACCTTGTCTGGATTCCCCTCTCCTCCTCAGGCAAAAATCCTGAAAATGATGGATGACAACAAGCAGTTGGCTCAGCGCATCGATGGGGCCATTCAGTCCGCCAGCCAGGAGGTGACCAACCTGCGGTCAGAGCTGAGCGCCACCAGCCGCAGACTGGCCGAGCTGGGGGCAACCGACTCTGCCAGCATGCTGGAGACCCTGCAGCAAAACCACAACGGTAGGAAGAGTCGCTCGCAGAGTAGATCGAGACTGTGCGCTCTGATGCAGCTGTGTTTAGTCTTGCTCTGTGTGCACGTGTGTTTAGGCGCGTAACGGATGAAAGAGTGAGTTGCCTCTATCCATGGGACTAAGTGTGTGTTTGAAAGTTGGCGAGTGAGTTGAACAAAAGAGGTGAGAGGTTTCTGGTGGCTTGTGTCCACTCTTAGTTCTCCAACAAATCCTCTCTCATGTTGAATAATTAACCTCCTGAACCTTCAAGGAGGGGGGGGGGGGGGGGGGGG